AAAATCGGAATTAGTTCTTCAGTGACTTTCGTGCAGTGTGTTAATATAGTAGAAAAGTGAAAAATGACTGGTCGTGGTAAAGGAGGCAAAGGCTTGGGAAAAGGTGGCGCCAAGCGTCATCGCAAAGTGCTGCGTGATAACATCCAGGGTATTACGAAGCCAGCCATACGCCGTTTGGCTCGTCGTGGCGGTGTGAAGCGCATCTCCGGATTAATTTACGAGGAAACACGTGGTGTTCTGAAGGTGTTCCTGGAGAACGTTATCCGTGATGCCGTCACCTACACCGAACACGCCAAGAGGAAGACTGTCACAGCCATGGATGTCGTGTACGCCCTGAAGAGGCAAGGCCGCACCCTGTACGGTTTCGGCGGTTAAAAACAAGTACAGCTTGTACTTCATTCAGCAATCGGTCCTTTTCAGGACCACCATTACATCTCCAAAGCAGACAAATTTTCAAAACATTTTACGCTTTTTTGTTTTATTGGCTGGGAACTCCAAATTGGGAGTGAACAAAATCGAAATATTTAGTTTTCACCGCGAGCATTCGTCCGTTTCTCAAACAGGTAGAAAAATGTGTTGTAAAACAATCACTTACAGACATGTATAAAAATGTTTTTTGTTCAGACTGTACTGTTTCAGATGCGAAAGCAGTCTGTCTGATAAAGTTATACAATAAAATTATTATTTAACTTCCCGAACATTTTTAAAACCCAAGATGATGTGTTCACTAGATACATATTTTTTATTTGAAATACTTTTTGATGCCTGATGTTCTATTAGAAAATATTAACAATTCTTTGGTAAAAACTTGGTCGTCCTGAAAAGGACGGTTGGGTATGTTTATGTACAAGTATGTAGTTGGCTCTGCTTTTGGAACGTTTAAGCCTTCTTCTCGGTCTTCTTGGGCAACAGAACAGCCTGGATATTGGGCAATACTCCACCCTGGGCAATGGTGACGCCGGAGAGCAGCTTGTTCAATTCTTCGTCGTTGCGAATGGCCAGCTGCAGATGACGCGGGATAATCCTAGTCTTCTTGTTGTCACGAGCAGCATTGCCAGCCAACTCGAGAACCTCGGCGGCCAGATATTCCATCACGGCAGCCAGGTAAACCGGAGCGCCGGCACCAACACGCTCGGCATAGTTGCCCTTGCGGAGCAGACGGTGAATACGGCCTACTGGGAACTGAAGACCAGCCCGGTTGGAGCGGGACTTTGCCTTTCCCTTCACTTTGCCACCTTTTCCACGACCAGACATTTTGCTTTATTTCACTTAGTTCACTTAACACACAAAAACGAATGCTCGAGAAAAATTGGTAGCCACATATTTATACTTTTTTGCCTGCCTGCGCGTTTAGTTAGGGTTGGGTGCCTTATACCTGAAAAGGTTGCTCGAAAAAAAGTATAAGGGTGAACGCGTTCCGGCTCCGTTATGATCAGTGAATTGTGTTTGTGAAATTAAAAGTGAACTGAAATAATGCCGCCGAAAACTAGTGGAAAGGCAGCCAAGAAGGCTGGCAAGGCTCAGAAGAACATCACCAAGACCGACAAGAAGAAGAAGCGCAAGAGGAAGGAGAGCTATGCGATCTACATCTACAAGGTTCTGAAGCAGGTCCACCCTGACACCGGCATTTCGTCGAAGGCGATGAGCATCATGAACAGCTTTGTGAATGACATCTTCGAGCGTATTGCTGCAGAGGCTTCTCGTCTGGCCCACTACAACAAACGGTCGACCATCACCAGTCGGGAAATCCAAACGGCTGTTCGCCTGCTTCTGCCCGGAGAGTTGGCCAAGCACGCCGTTAGTGAGGGAACCAAGGCTGTCACCAAGTACACCAGCTCCAAGTAAATTTTCTGCGTTTGCGGAGGAAGATCCAAAACGGCCCTTTTTAGGGCCACAACATATTTTACCAAAGAAACTAAATTTTCAATACCATTCGCAATACAATATAAAATAATCAAAATAGTCCAGTTTAAATAAATAAATAAATTTATTCGATTCTGAATGCTACATTATTTGCCGACTTAGCCGCGGTTGCGTGCGTCAAAAGAATTAAATAAACTATTTTCAAAGATGTAATTCCGCCGCTACAGTTCTTTCAAAAAAGCACAATCACTATATTCTTGCTTTATAAAATAATTTGAATGCTATATCGAAAGAATCTTTCTCTTGTTAACAAACATTGTAGCCCTGAAAAGGGCTGTATAAATCAATTTCAGATTTCGAAATCTTAAATTGCGACTGTGAGCGTCCAGGTACAGGTACTGTACTTTTTCACAGTTTACTTCTTGGCAGCGGTAGTCTTTGCTTTCGGCTTCTTAGCTGTAGCAGGGGCAGCTGCTTTCTTTACCGCCTTTTTCGGTTTAGCAGACGCCGCTGGCTTGGTTTTGGGTGCTTTAGCTGCCTTCGGCTTCGCTGCGGTCGACTTGGTCTTTGGTGCTGCTGGCTTTGCCTTCACGGTTCCAGTTTTCTTAGCATCCTTGGCCCTTGCCTTCTCGGTTTTCTTTTTCTCGGCGGTCTTTTTGGAGGCCACAGCCTTCTTGATCTTGGGCTTTTTGTCGGCAGCCTTCTTGGCGGTGGCTCCGGTCTTCTTAACGGCTACCTTCCTGCTTTTGACTTTCTTCTCAGCAGACGCAACCTTTGGCTTGGGATCCTTCGCGGCAGACGCCGACAGTTTAAATGAACCAGACGCGCCCTTTCCCTTTGTTTGGATCAGTTTCCCATTGACGACGGCAGATTTCAAATACTTCTTAATGAATGGAGCCAATTTCTGGGCATCGCATTTGTAGGTGGCTGTGATATATTTCTTGATTGCCAGAAGCGATGAGCCGCCACGTTCCTTCAAATTCTTAATGGAAGCGTCCACCATTTGCTGAGTTGGCGGGTGCGATGGCGGTGCAGTGGGCTTCTTTGCCTTTGTGCCAGCGGATCCAGATGCCTTTTTGGCAGCCACCTTCTTCTCAACTGGCGCTGGTGGGGCAGCCACTGGGGACGCGGCCGTTGCAACTGCAGATTCAGACATTTTTGATCACTTAAATACACTTTGTTGTTTAGAAAATGGCGCGCGCGCTTGCTGCCGACCTCCTTCATACGGGTGAGAATCGAGGAGGAGAGCACTTCTACTATGGGTCTGACATCAGTCATTTGCTGTGCTGATGTCTGCTTGAAGTGCAAACTTATTTTCTGGTTTTTATTGTTTAAGACCTTTAATCGAAACAATGTTGTTGATTCTATACTAACTTAAATGTTTCATAAAGCACTTTGCATTTACGAAAATGTAATATCTTGTTTCGTTGGCCTTTTATCGCTGAATAAACTTGAACATTGTCATTTGTAATTTGAGCAATTTATTTAAAAACCTATTTTAAAATTAGAAATCTAACAAATATTTGTACGATTCTTAATACAAAATGAAATTTGAACTTTTTACTTTAGGAAATATTGAAAATTTAATCCGTTTTCATTAATTAAGATATTTTATTACTTGTTCCAAGTTGAGCCCAGTCGACATAAAAAGTTTGCTTTCAGGGTACATTCGGTCATAGTTTTCGAGATGAAAAAAATATAAAAGTTTCAAAATGTTATAGTTATTTAAGATTTTCTTAAACAAATCATTTGCATGTTTTGACCGACTTAAATTTTTAGTAATGTTTATGATAGTTTTGGCCAAAATTAGGCAAATCATTTGCTCCTGTTAATTAAATCGTACCAAGTCCCAATCAAAAAAAAAATATAAATTGTATTGTTTTTGACATATTTTTTTTTTTTAATTTTTTTAAGTATTTGTTTCCCAGGTTCCCCAACACTGCTGACTTATTTTCAGAGTGTGTTTTGCAGTTTTTCGATTTTTTAAAGAGATTTGAATACGGCATGTGGGTTGTGCTTGTCCCATACAACTTTGTGCCTGATAAAAGTCCCACCAAATACCAACAGAAAAAATACGAATTCGAACACTTTTCGAGATAGATTTTGTTTAATATTTAATAAATAAGGGATTCGTTATCGTTGCTAAACTATTTTCAAGTTGAGTTTAATAGTTTTTCGATTTTTTAATGAGATTTGAATGGCTTGGCTATTCCCTTACAATCTTGCTCCTGTTTAAAATCGTACCAAGTCCCAATCAAAAAAAAATATAAATTGTATTGATTTTTGACATATTTTTTTGATTTGTTTAATAGTTAAGAGATTCCTAAACGTTGCTAACTTATTTTTAGAGTGTCTTTTGCAGTTTTTCGATTTTTTAAAGAGATTTGAATACGGCATGTGGGTTGTGCTTGTCCCATACAACCTTGTGCCTGATAAAAGTCCCACCAAATACCAATCGAAAAAAAATACGAATTCGAACTTTTTCGAGATAGATTTTGTTTTATTTAATAAATAAGGGATTCGTTATCGTTGCTAAACTATTTTCAAGTTGAGTTTAATAGTTTTTCCATTTTTTAATGAGATTTGAATGGCTTGGCTATTCCTTTACAATCTTGCTCCTTTTTAAAATCGCACCAAGTCCCAATCAAAAAAAAATATAAATTGTATTGATTTTTAACATATTTTTTATTTGTTTAATAGTTAAGAGATTCCTAAACGTTGCTAACTTATTTTTAGAGTGTGTTTTGCAGTTTTTCGATTTTTTAAAGAGATTTGAATACGGCATGTGGGTTGTGCTTGTCCCAAACAACCTTGTGCCTGATAAAAGTCCCACCAAATACCAATCGAAAAAATACAAATTCGAACTTTTTCGAGATAGGTTTTGTTTTATTTGATAAATAAGGGATTCGTTATTGTTGCTAACTTATTTTAAAATTGAGTTTAATAGTTTTTCGGTTTTTTAATGACAGTTGAATGGTTAGTGCTATTCCCTTCAAACCTTGCACATTGTTCACATCCCAATGCCACACCCCCCTAAAGCGAATTATTTATTAAAATAAAATACATATTTATATATTTATTATAATTAGAAGACGCCAAAAGAAAAATTAATATCTCATCGAAAGTATTTTGTGGTCCTGAAAAGGACCGATTTGTACAAAGTATGCTGGCGCATTGGTCGCTAGTTGAGACCGTCTCAGCTTAAGCACGCTCACCGCGAATGCGACGGGCCAACTGGATGTCCTTGGGCATGATTGTTACACGCTTGGCATGAATGGCACACAAGTTGGTATCTTCAAAAAGGCCAACAAGATATGCTTCGCTAGCTTCCTGAAGAGCCATCACTGCCGAGCTCTGGAACCGCAAATCAGTCTTGAAGTCCTGAGCGATCTCACGCACCAGACGCTGGAAAGGCAGTTTGCGAATCAGCAGCTCGGTACTCTTCTGGTAGCGACGGATCTCACGCAGGGCCACAGTTCCGGGGCGATAGCGATGGGGCTTCTTCACGCCTCCGGTGGCTGGGGCGCTCTTACGAGCGGCCTTGGTGGCCAGTTGTTTGCGTGGCGCCTTGCCACCAGTCGACTTGCGAGCGGTTTGCTTGGTACGAGCCATTTTCGATTTCTATGTTGATATTTATATTCACTGATGTTCACTTCGCGTCTGAAAACACAATAAACGGTTGCCGCGTTCGCTGCCTGCTTATATAGCAAAATGTGGAGGGTTGGAAAGAGAAAGAGGCAGAGGCCATCTCGTTTGACGAGCGAAGAGCGAGACGAATATATCGCTCGGACTCGCTCGGGTATCTATGGGTTTAGGTATAAATAGGGGCACGCCGAAAAATCGGAATTAGTTCTTCAGTGACTTTCGTGCAGTGTGTTAATATAGTAGAAAAGTGAAAAATGACTGGTCGTGGTAAAGGAGGCAAAGGCTTGGGAAAAGGTGGCGCCAAGCGTCATCGCAAAGTGCTGCGTGATAACATCCAGGGTATTACGAAGCCAGCCATACGCCGTTTGGCTCGTCGTGGCGGTGTGAAGCGCATCTCCGGATTAATTTACGAGGAAACACGTGGTGTTCTGAAGGTGTTCCTGGAGAACGTTATCCGTGATGCCGTCACCTACACCGAACACGCCAAGAGGAAGACTGTCACAGCCATGGATGTCGTGTACGCCCTGAAGAGGCAAGGCCGCACCCTGTACGGTTTCGGCGGTTAAAAACAAGTACAGCTTGTACTTCATTCAGCAATCGGTCCTTTTCAGGACCACCATTACATCTCCAAAGCAGACAAATTTTCAAAACATTTTACGCTTTTTTGTTTTATTGGCTGGGAACTCCAAATTGGGAGTGAACAAAATCGAAATATTTAGTTTTCACCGCGAGCATTCGTCCGTTTCTCAAACAGGTAGAAAAATGTGTTGTAAAACAATCACTTACAGACATGTATAAAAATGTTTTTTGTTCAGACTGTACTGTTTCAGATGCGAAAGCAGTCTGTCTGATAAAGTTATACAATAAAATTATTATTTAACTTCCCGAACATTTTTAAAACCCAAGATGATGTGTTCACTAGATACATATTTTTTATTTGAAATACTTTTTGATGCCTGATGTTCTATTAGAAAATATTAACAATTCTTTGGTAAAAACTTGGTCGTCCTGAAAAGGACGGTTGGGTATGTTTATGTACAAGTATGTAGTTGGCTCTGCTTTTGGAACGTTTAAGCCTTCTTCTCGGTCTTCTTGGGCAACAGAACAGCCTGGATATTGGGCAATACTCCACCCTGGGCAATGGTGACGCCGGAGAGCAGCTTGTTCAATTCTTCGTCGTTGCGAATGGCCAGCTGCAGATGACGCGGGATAATCCTAGTCTTCTTGTTGTCACGAGCAGCATTGCCAGCCAACTCGAGAACCTCGGCGGCCAGATATTCCATCACGGCAGCCAGGTAAACCGGAGCGCCGGCACCAACACGCTCGGCATAGTTGCCCTTGCGGAGCAGACGGTGAATACGGCCTACTGGGAACTGAAGACCAGCCCGGTTGGAGCGGGACTTTGCCTTTCCCTTCACTTTGCCACCTTTTCCACGACCAGACATTTTGCTTTATTTCACTTAGTTCACTTAACACACAAAAACGAATGCTCGAGAAAAATTGGTAGCCACATATTTATACTTTTTTGCCTGCCTGCGCGTTTAGTTAGGGGTGGGTGCCTTATACCTGAAAAGGTTGCTCGAAAAAAAGTATAAGGGTGAACGCGTTCCGGCTCCGTTATGATCAGTGAATTGTGTTTGTGAAACTAAAAGTGAACTGAAATAATGCCGCCGAAAACTAGTGGAAAGGCAGCCAAGAAGGCTGGCAAGGCTCAGAAGAACATCACCAAGACCGACAAGAAGAAGAAGCGCAAGAGGAAGGAGAGCTATGCGATCTACATCTACAAGGTTCTGAAGCAGGTCCACCCTGACACCGGCATTTCGTCGAAGGCGATGAGCATCATGAACAGCTTTGTGAATGACATCTTCGAGCGTATTGCTGCAGAGGCTTCTCGTCTGGCCCACTACAACAAACGGTCGACCATCACCAGTCGGGAAATCCAAACGGCTGTTCGCCTGCTTCTGCCCGGAGAGTTGGCCAAGCACGCCGTTAGTGAGGGAACCAAGGCTGTCACCAAGTACACCAGCTCCAAGTAAATTTGCTGCGTTTGCGGAGGAAGATCCAAAACGGCCCTTTTTAGGGCCACAACATATTTTACCAAAGAAACTAAATTTTCAATACCATTCGCAATACAATATAAAATAATCAAAATAGTCCAGTTTAAATAAATAAATAAATTTATTCGATTCTGAATGCTACATTATTTGCCGACTTAGCCGCGGTTGCGTGCGTCAAAAGAATTAAATAAACTATTTTCAAAGATGTAATTCCGCCGCTACAGTTCTTTCAAAAAAGCACAATCACTATATTCTTGCTTTATAAAATAATTTGAATGCTATATCGAAAGAATCTTTCTCTTGTTAACAAACATTGTAGCCCTGAAAAGGGCTGTATAAATCAATTTCAGATTTCGAAATCTTAAATTGCGACTGTGAGCGTCCAGGTACAGGTACTGTACTTTTTCACAGTTTACTTCTTGGCAGCGGTAGTCTTTGCTTTCGGCTTCTTAGCTGTAGCAGGGGCAGCTGCTTTCTTTACCGCCTTTTTCGGTTTAGCAGACGCCGCTGGCTTGGTTTTGGGTGCTTTAGCTGCCTTCGGCTTCGCTGCGGTCGACTTGGTCTTTGGTGCTGCTGGCTTTGCCTTCACGGTTCCAGTTTTCTTAGCATCCTTGGCCCTTGCCTTCTCGGTTTTCTTTTTCTCGGCGGTCTTTTTGGAGGCCACAGCCTTCTTGATCTTGGGCTTTTTGTCGGCAGCCTTCTTGGCGGTGGCTCCGGTCTTCTTAACGGCTACCTTCCTGCTTTTGACTTTCTTCTCAGCAGACGCAACCTTTGGCTTGGGATCCTTCGCGGCAGACGCCGACAGTTTAAATGAACCAGACGCGCCCTTTCCCTTTGTTTGGATCAGTTTCCCATTGACGACGGCAGATTTCAAATACTTCTTAATGAATGGAGCCAATTTCTGGGCATCGCATTTGTAGGTGGCTGTGATATATTTCTTGATTGCCAGAAGCGATGAGCCGCCACGTTCCTTCAAATTCTTAATGGAAGCGTCCACCATTTGCTGAGTTGGCGGGTGCGATGGCGGTGCAGTGGGCTTCTTTGCCTTTGTGCCAGCGGATCCAGATGCCTTTTTGGCAGCCACCTTCTTCTCAACTGGCGCTGGTGGGGCAGCCACTGGGGACGCGGCCGTTGCAACTGCAGATTCAGACATTTTTGATCACTTAAATACACTTTGTTGTTTAGAAAATGGCGCGCGCGCTTGCTGCCGACCTCCTTCATACGGGTGAGAATCGAGGAGGAGAGCACTTCTACTATGGGTCTGACATCAGTCATTTGCTGTGCTGATGTCTGCTTGAAGTGCAAACTTATTTTCTGGTTTTTATTGTTTAAGACCTTTAATCGAAACAATGTTGTTGATTCTATACTAACTTAAATGTTTCATAAAGCACTTTGCATTTACGAAAATGTAATATCTTGTTTCGTTGGCCTTTTATCGCTGAATAAACTTGAACATTGTCATTTGTAATTTGAGCAATTTATTTAAAAACCTATTTTAAAATTAGAAATCTAACAAATATTTGTACGATTCTTAATACAAAATGAAATTTGAACTTTTTACTTTAGGAAATATTGAAAATTTAATCCGTTTTCATTAATTAAGATATTTTATTACTTGTTCCAAGTTGAGCCCAGTCGACATAAAAAGTTTGCTTTCAGGGTACATTCGGTCATAGTTTTCGAGATGAAAAAAATATAAAAGTTTCAAAATGTTATAGTTATTTAAGATTTTCTTAAACAAATCATTTGCATGTTTTGACCGACTTAATTTTTTAGTTTTGGCCAAAATAGGCAAATTTGGCTTGGCTATTCCCATACAATCTTGCTCCTATTATAAATCGTACCAAGTCCCAATCAAAAGAAAAATATAAATTGTATTGTTTTTGACATATTTTTTATTTTGTTTAATAGTAATGGGATTCCCCAACACTGCTGACTTATTTTCAGAGTGTGTTTTGCAGTTTTTCGATTTTTTAAAGAGATTTGAATACGGCATGTGGGTTGTGCTTGTCCCATACAACTTTGTGCCTGATAAAAGTCCCACCAAATACCAATCGAAAAAAAATACGAATTCGAACTTTTTCGAGATAGATTTTGTTTTATTTAATAAATAAGGGATTCGTTATCGTTGCTAAACTATTTTCAAGTTGAGTTTAATAGTTTTTCGATTTTTTAATGAGATTTGAATGGCTTGGCTATTCCCTTACAATCTTGCTCCTGTTTAAAATCGTACCAAGTCCCAATCAAAAAAAAAATATAAATTGTATTGATTTTTGACATATTTTTGATTTGTTTAATAGTTAAGAGATTCCTAAACGTTGCTAACTTATTTTTAGAGTGTCTTTTGCAGTTTTTCGATTTTTTAAAGAGATTTGAATACGGCATGTGGGTTGTGCTTGTCCCATACAACCTTGTGCCTGATAAAAGTCCCACCAAATACCAATCGAAAAAAAATACGAATTCGAACTTTTTCGAGATAGATTTTGTTTTATTTAATAAATAAGGGATTCGTTATCGTTGCTAAACTATTTTCAAGTTGAGTTTAATAGTTTTTCCATTTTTTAATGAGATTTGAATGGCTTGGCTATTCCTTTACAATCTTGCTCCTTTTTAAAATCGCACCAAGTCCCAATCAAAAAAAAATATAAATTGTATTGATTTTTAACATATTTTTTATTTGTTTAATAGTTAAGAGATTCCTAAACGTTGCTAACTTATTTTTAGAGTGTGTTTTGCAGTTTTTCGATTTTTTAAAGAGATTTGAATACGGCATGTGGGTTGTGCTTGTCCCAAACAACCTTGTGCCTGATAAAAGTCCCACCAAATACCAATCGAAAAAATACAAATTCGAACTTTTTCGAGATAGGTTTTGTTTTATTTGATAAATAAGGGATTCGTTATTGTTGCTAACTTATTTTAAAATTGAGTTTAATAGTTTTTCGGTTTTTTAATGACAGTTGAATGGTTAGTGCTATTCCCTTCAAA